TCGTGCATCATGTAAGCGCTGCTGCAGGTACGCGTATTCAAACAAGGCTTTGCTGATGCTTTGGTATCGCCCCCCACACAGAGGGTGAGTCCCCCATTGGCCCTCTTTACGTCGATCGGCAGGTGGCTTGGCTTGTTCAGCATGGCGTAGTAGGTTCTGGGACCCTCAGTATGCCAGTATCTACTGCGTGGAGGTTAGTAGTTGTGGTACATTTGCTTTGCCGAGTAAGACACTCCCTGCTCTCATCGCCACTTTACAGCAAGCCATGTGGGCCGCAGGTACCAAAGACATGTATGTCATTGCACATATTCGCCAGTTCTACCCATGCTTGAATTGCTCTTCCAATCAACCGCTGTCCCCAAGCTCGTAATGCTGAATGCTTCGCCGTCAACGCCAACCATATCCCATAGTGCCGATGTAACGCATATCCTGAATACCATGATCCAACACAACCAACTCCTAAGTTCCACCCTATAGCCAAATCAATACGCCCCGTTCGTCATGTCGTTCAGGATATCCCTGGTAATCGGCCTATTCTTCGTCAGGAGCCTCTCTCCCGCCATGGCCCTCTTTGGCTCCGGTCTCTGATTCTCCTTATCGAAACCCTTCAACCCCCCGATCGCCTTCACAGGCCCTCCGAGCCCCGGCCTCGCCTTGACAGGCGACAGCGCTGCGGCCGTCGACGCCTGCGTAGCCGCGTCGTCAGAGACGTGCGACTCGAGCGCGTCCGCCGGCAGGTCATACACCCACGCCTTGCTCTCCATGAGGCCGATGAACCTGGCGAGCATCTCGTCGTGGCCCGCACCCTTGAGCGTTTCCCGGCTGCCGACGACGAGGAGTTTCGTCTTGGCGCGCGTGAACGCCACGTTGATTCTCCGCCAGTCCTTGAGCAGGTCGCCGATAGCGCACGCGTCGTTGGACCGCACCAGCGACAGCACGACGACCTCCTTGTCGCGGCCCTGGAAGCGGTCGACTGTGTGCATCTCCACGCTGGGGTGACCGCGCAGCCCGTGCTTCAGCAGCGCCAGCTGGGAGCGATAGTGCGTCATGACGCCAATCTCCGTCTCGGGAACGCCGACAGCGACGAGCGACTCGACGAGCTGCGTTACGACGCGCGCCTCGCCGGGGTTAACGATGCGGTTGCCCTTGGCTTCCTCGTGCGTCCGGGGTTGCAGCGTGTCCGTGTTGATGAAGCGGACGCGCGTCTCGGGCTCCAGGAGGTCACGGATCCAGCACCGTCCAGGCGTGGGACCGGCGCAGAACGACCGCGGCGCACTAGGCTGCAGGAGGCGAGCAGAGTCGTAATGCCTTTGCTGGAGAGCGCCCATGTTGGGCACGTCGAGCTTGGTGAAACGGAGCTGTTCCGTGCCACACCTGAGCCGGCCCTTGTAGATGAGGCTGTTGCTCAGAGTCATAATGTCCTCACACATGCGATACTGATGCTCTAGGTTGACGACCGAGTCCGGGTGCGTATCAGAGAGCAGCTTGAACAAGCTGACGTCCAAGCCACCCTCGCGAGCCTCCTCATTCTGCACCAGCGGAGGAAGCTGGTTGTGATCTCCTACCAGAACAAATGTCTTGGCCATCCTGATGGGGCCAAGGCAGATTGGCAGCGTGATCTGCGACGCCTCATCGACAATGCAATAATCAAATGTACGCTCATTGAAGACATGGTGGCCGATGCCGAGACACGTGGTCGCAACAATCGGAGGATCATGCCACGCCGACTTGATCTCATCAAATGAATGCATCGGCACGGCTGCCAGCGTGGCAAACTCCTGGACCTCAGGGTGCACTTTGGCCGGTGCCCCCAGTCGCAAGACAGGGATGCTGTCGTGCTTGAGCTTGAGGAGGATATTGTCCACAGCCGTGTGCGTGTACGATGTGAGCAAGACACTCTTGCCCTGGGACACGAGAGCCCTGATGATGTGGGCGATGGTTGTCGTCTTGCCCGTGCCAGGCATGCCCAGTACCAAGGCGTAGTCCTGTGCCGTCATGACCTTCTCGATGGCAGCTTGCTGGTCCACATTCAGGCTTGCCCGGTCCGCAATCTCATACTGAGTCGGTGCGGCCTTGAACCGCGGCGGAACCAGATCGACCACCAAGCGGCGGATCTCGCGAGCTCCAAACACGTCGTCGGCCATGATCTGAACAAGGTTGTTCCGCACAACCGCCATGCCATTGCTGAACTCGTCTTTGTCGAGTCGGTAGCGCATGGGCTCACCGCGAACCCTGCCCTGATGCTGATCAGGGGTGGACCCTTCAGGCTCGACTTCCATGATACCAGCGAATACCTGATTATCGTGCTCGTTGAAACCGGGTTGGCGCACCCGGGCATTGTGCAGACGCCGATCCACGGCGACGCAGATCCTCTGCTTGCGCACTGACGTGACATAACCCAGAGCGAGAGCGAAATGGCCCTGCTCATCAGAAACGACGATCGGTTCACCGACGGCCAGCTGCGATTCCATGAAGGAGTGCGTGCCGTTGTGCTCCCGTTTGATAAAGTTGTATCGGAATCGGTTGATGCTGGGGCTGTTGTGATCTTCGGACCAAGAGCCTTCCTCGATGATGACATCAGAAAAGCATCGTCCGAGTTTCTCCCTTTCTTTGCTGACCATGGTCCACAACTCTCGCCGGAGCTTTTGGCTCTCCTTCTCTTCCTTTGTCAAAAGATTCTCCCACTTGATAAAAAAATCTTGGTGGGTAGGCGTCAGGTGCCTGACGACCTCGTCAAACTGCTTGCCCATGCCGCTTGTCACATCGTCGCCGTTGTCTGCGAGCCGGTGGTAGATGAAGCACGCCGTCTTGGCATAGCACTTGTTGCACATGTGCTTGCTCTTCTTCATCGGCGGGAGCTGCACGCTCCGCTCGCGGATGTGGCAGGCGAGCTGATTTCGCTGCATGATCATGTGGCGGAGCTCCTGTCGAATGGCCGGGATCCTCGACGTCTGCGAGGACTCCATGTAATACAGAATACCATACACAATCTCAATGTCGTATCTGTCCGTGAGGAGTAGATTGTACAGAGACGTCTGGGCTACATGACTCGTGTTGGCGTTCTTGCCCGTCTTGACCTCGAATGGCACCGTCAAAACACGAGTGTCATTGCCGTCTTTCATGGTGACCTGGACTGTGGCGTCGATGTTGCCCTTGAGACCATACATAGGTGACCATACATGCTCCTCGACGTCCAGCAGCTTGCTCACGCACATGTTGACCTTCTTCCCGTTGCGGTCTGATACCATGGCGTCTGGCTTCGGCTGTGACGCGACAAACATGTCCGCCCAGCTGCTCAGCTCAGGCATCTTGGACTGCAGGTGTTCTTTAGCGATGTTTGTGCTCACTTTGATCTTGTACAGATCCTCAACGTGCTTCTCCATGATTGTGTCGATGACGGCGCTCAGGTACTTCAGGTCCCACTGGTTCGCGAGAAGAGCTGCTTGAAAGACCTCGTGAAGCATCGTTCCGTACACGAGTGGCGCGGAAGCCTCGCTCGTGGCCTTGACGCGATCCTGGAGCACAGCACGACGGGTGCACGTGAAGGAATCGGCCACGACGGTGGCAGATATGAGCTGATCCGGGTGCAAAATAACCATATTCTGGTCATCATTGATAACGCAGCGCCCTTCGGTGTCGAAGTCGCCGATAATGTGAACAAAGGATTTTTCATGCGCAGGCGTTTCGTACCAATCACCCCTGAGGTGTATAGTTCGCACAATCTTCGTCTTCTCGACTTGGACAAGAAGCATCTGGGCCAAGCATTAGCGTGGGATCAGCCGGGACAAGCAACGGCCTACCTTCTCGAGCCTTGTCCGGCCGTGGTCGTCGAGGTACTCGCTTTCTAGTACGTTGG